GAGAAATAGTGTAACATTCAGGGAGAACGAGGCAAAACAAATACGGATAGAGTTGATGAAACTTATGGTATGCATTAGGCCTGTGCGGTTTCGTTCGTTAATTCGTTAATTCGTTAATAATTCGTTAATTTTACCATTTCCGAAGCGATATCGAAACATATTTCCAAACCCGGAAGGGTTTATAAATATCGAACCAGCAGCCCCCATAGTTTTAACGAGCCTCCGCTCGTTTCGTTAATGGGGTGGAGGCTGCTGGAGTGCTGGTGCATGGGAGCCAATCCGGCGCTCCCAAGCAGTGCACCATGGGTCCGCGGCTGTCTCTTTTTGATTGGCCAGCGAGCCCTTTCAAAGCGGCTCCGCGCGGCCCGTAGCTTGCTGCAGAGGGAGTTTGCATTGGGTTGGCTTGGCAATGGCTGCTAGCAACTCGGATTGGATTCATTCCTTGCTGCTGTGAGTGCTGCTTGCTTCATTTGCTGTCTCTTGCCTGTGTTTGGTCCACATTTGGGCCATTTTTTGGTTAATTTTCCATTTTAAAATATTTTTAATATTATTTTTAATATTATTTTAATATTATTTTTAATATTATTTTAATATTATTCTTAAAAAATATTCTAAAAAAAGACTCTTCTGTTGGTGTGTGCTCTCATTTGCTGTATCCTGCCTGTGTTTGGTCATTTTTTGGTTAATTTTCCATTTTAAAATATTTTTTAATATTATTTTAATATTATTTTTAATATTATTTTAATATTATTTTTTAATATTATTTTAATATTATTCTTAAAAAATATTCTAAAAAAGAAAAGACTCTTCTGTTGGTGTGTGCTCTCATTTGCTGTATCCTGCCTGTGTTTGGTCATTTTTTGGTTAATTTTCCATTTTAAAATATTTTTTAATATTATTTTAATATTATTTTTTAATATTATTTTAATATTATTTTAATATTATTCTTAAAAAATATTCTAAAAAAGAAAAGACTCTTCTGTTGGTGTGTGCTCTCATTTGCTGTATCCTGCCTGTGTTTGTTCATTTTTTGGTTAATTTTCCATTTTAAAATATTTTTTAATATTATTTTAATATTATTTTTTAATATTTTTTAAATATTATTTTAATATTATTCTTAAAAAATATTCTAAAAAAGAAAAGACTCTTCTGTTGGTGTTGTGTGCTCTCATTTGCTGTCTCCTGCCTGTGTTTGGTCCACATTTGGGCCATTTTTTGGTTAATTTTCCATTTTAAAATATTTTTTAATATTATTTTAATATTATTCTTAAGAAATACAAAAAATATTCTAAAAATTCGTTAATATTTACAAAATTTCTTAAATACCAAAACTTTTTTTTGGAAAGTTTTGTAATTATTTTAAATATCGAAACAAAAAAACACCCCAATTACAAATCGATTTTAGAACCAAATTTTTTCTTGATCAAACAGGCCTAGTATGCATCCTATAATCTTCCAAGCAATCTCAAGATATATGTGTTGGAAATAGCAACCTTCTACAAGCCTCCTATACTAGTTATTTCTTATGTATGTAATTCAGATTGCTTACTATATTTTATACAAGCTGTACCCATTCACACGTTGCTGTGGCCAACATTTCCTCCCTCTTTCTCTCCTTTCTTCACTTTTTTGCTTTCATTCTCTCCTTCCTTCCTTCTCTTCTTCTTCACTGTGACTGGCCAGCCTCTTAGCCAAGGGAAAGGCTGTTTCTGAGACTCCAAACAGGGAGGGGAGAGCAGGCATGCTCAGGTGAGGGAGAGCATGTGAGGCTGGAGGGAGGCTCGAGCCAGAAAGTCCCTTCAAGGCATGGTGGTTCTGTATGGGAAGTTTGGTCCAATTCTATTGTTGGTGAGGTTCAAGGGGCTCTTTCATTGTAGGTGAACTATAAATCCCAGCAACTACCAAATGTCAAACTCTATTTTCCCCAAACTCCACCAGTGTTCACATTTGGGCATACTGAGTATTCATGCCAAGATTGGTCCAGATCCATCGTTGTTTGAGTCTACAGTGCTCTCTGGATGTAGGTGAACGACAACTCCCAAACTCAAGGTCAATGCCCACCAAACCCTTCTAGTATTTTCTGTTGCTCATGGGAGTTCTGTGTGCCAAGTTTGGTTTAATTCCATCATTGGTGGAGTTCAGAATGTTCTTTAATTGTAGGTGAACTATAAATCCCAGCAACTACAACTCCCAAATGTCGAGGTCTATTTTCTCCAAACTCCACCAGTGTTCACATTTTGGCATATTGAGTATCTGTGCCAAATTTAGTTCAGATCCATCATTGTTTGAGTCCACAGTGCTCTCTGGCTGTAGGTGAACTACAACTCCAAAACTCAAAGTCAACGCCCATCAAACCCTTCCAGTATTTTTCTGTTGCTCATGGGAGTTCTCTGTGCCAAGTTTGATCCAATTCCATCATTGGTGGAGTTCAGAATGTTCTTTGATTGTAGGATAACTATAAATTATTATTATTTACAGTATTTACAGTATTTATATTCCACCCTTCTCACCTCGCAGGGGACTCAGGGCAGATTACAATGTGTACACATACATGGCAAACATTCAGTTCCATAGACACACAACACATATAGACAGACAGTCAGAGGCTATTTAACATTCCAATTTTCAGGCCACCAGGGGAGCTGTTGCTTCACTGTCCATCTGCGACACTGATGAAGTACTTTCCACATTCCCCGCATGCTTTTGCTGGAGATTTCTTTATGGCCTCGTAAATTTCCTACTTGACAGATGCAACTGTCTTTTGGGTTGCAAAGGTCGACAACGAGCAGGGGCGGCTCAACCCATTACGCAAAGTAAGCATTTGCAGTATAGTTGATTCTGCTCAGGCGCGCTCTTGAGGCACTCTTGGAGGAAAATAGACCTTGACAATGCGAGTTGTAGTTACTGGGATGTATAGTTCACCTAGAATCAAAGAGCATTCTGAACTCCACCAATGATGGAATTGAACCAAATATGGCACACAGAACTCTCACGATGAACAGGAAATATATATATCAGTGATTGGTTGGGGGGGGGGTACTGTTTGCCTACCGTTGAAAATTACCTAGGGCCGCGTCTGACGACAAGCTACACAAATTGGCCAGAAGCTCACTCTGACCCAGACTGGCTTTGAACTCATGACCTTTTGGTCAGTAGTGATCTTAATGCAGCTGACACCCAGCCAGCTGCACCACAGTCCCGGTGAAAGGGTCTTTGAGAGAAATTTGCAAATGCTAAGCAAGGGGCTTTGAATGAAATTAAGAGCAAAAGAAAAATATACCCTTTCTCTGTAGAAAAGGAGCAACAGGGAAGAAAATGTTTTTAAGAAACAAGATGTGACATGTAGAGGGTGGAAGTTGTGTTGTGGTTAAGTTCAAAGGTTGTGGTTAAGCGCAGAGTCTGCAGGTACAAGAAGGTACTTTCCATCAAAAGGTCAAGGGAGAGGGGCTGGAAAGAGAGTACTTTCCATGACCTATTACTTGAGTACAAAAGTCAGCAGAAAAAGAGGAGGGGGGCGGCAGTCACTTGAAGGGTAGCATCTGCGTATGCTGCCAGACTGTCCGACTTCTTCATGAAGAAACTAAAATAAACCTTGTTTTATATATATATATTTTTGGAACTGTCTCCTTCCTTACGTGTTCCCGTGATGTGGACCTAAGAAGACCCAATTTAGGGTCTCTAACACTGGTGCTATAAATCCCAGCAACTACAACTCCCAAATGACAAAATCAACCCCCTCCAATTCCACCAGTATTCAATTTTGGGCGTATTGGGTATTTGTGCCTGCAAAGATGCTGGCCAATTGTACAGGGCTGCCACCAATTTGCGAAGTCTATCCCTCTGACACCAAATTTGCGATGTCTGCACGCACCAGTTGTACAATTGTGCCAATTGCGAAGGTGCAATTCCAACAACAGACAGGATATAGGGTTTTTAACTTTAAAGAACCCACCCTCTGTCACCAATTGTATAGACTGTTCTTAAATTCTGCCACCAATTATACAGGTTCGGATGATTATGGATGTAATTAAGGTAACTGCCACCAACGTGAGGTATTGCTGATGAGAACTGGCTCCCCAGACGCAGATAAATGGAGATGACACGGTCTTCAACAAAAGTTAATAAGTTTATTTTGTACAAAGCATATGGTTACAGGCTGTTAAATAACTTGGAATAACTTAGAATAACTTATAGAACTTGGAATGTAACTTAGTTTGCAATACAGTTCACTCTTCTCGATGACACAACTTGTGATTGACTTTTACTGTGGTGGAGCACTTTCTTAAACAATGTTTCCTGAGGTGAATAGCCTTCCTATTCAATCTTTTCTTGATCAAATCCTAGATCTCTAGTTCTTTCCTAACTAGTGATCTAAACAAGCTTCCCTTAGTCCTCTCTGACTAAAGAAACTAATTAGGTTTCTCCCTTCAGCCTTCCTAGACTGAAGAAACCTCTGGCTATTCACATACACTGCTTCTCCACTCTCCACTCTCCTCTCTCAACTGCTGTCTCCGAACTCCTAACACCAACTGAACTGCTTCTTTTCAAAGACGCAGATAACATTCTCTTGCTCCGCCTACTTCTCACTCTCTTGCCTGGTCTCCTTGGCAACGCCACTGTGGATACAACCAGTTAGCTCTAGCTTCAGCTACTGTTACCAACACGAATATATTCTAACAGTTAAACATATAGACAGTATCAATAACTTCTGCACAGTGCCAAATTTGGTCCAGTGAATGAAAATACATCCTGCATATCAGGTATTTACATAATGATTCATAACAGTAGCGAAATGACAGTTATGGCATAGCAACGAAAATAATGTTATGATTGGGGGTCACCACCACATGAGGAACTCTATTAAGGGGTCACAGCATTAGGAAGGTTGGGAAACGCTGCCTTAATTAATCTCTGGATTGCTGAAGAAATTTAAGGTGGAACGAGTTCTGAAAATCAGGCCATGCATCTCATGCCTTTATCATGTCTTCCTTCTTTTTTAGAATAAGAGCCAGGTCACAACGCTGGACTTTGAAGAATTCGAAGACTTGTTGGCCAACTTTACCAGTAACTACACCTATGATGAGTATCCATCCTACAATGGTATCCTTCCTGAGCCGTGCCAGTTCACTTACTGCCTCAATTTCCTCAGCAGCATCTTAGCATTGCTGGTGGTCATCAGCCTTTTGGGCTTAGTCTCCAGCTTGGCCCTTGGCCTATCCTTGGCCAAGAGTCCCATCATGTGGAAGGAGCGCCATCCAAGAAAGTATCAGCTCTTCTTAATGTCGGCAGCCACCGGTCTCTTTGCCGCCACCTTGCCATTCTTTGCCGTGGGGATCAAGCATGGGTGGGTCTTTGGTCCCCATTTCTGCCAGGTGGCCCGTGCCTTGAAGTTTGGCTGCCTCTTTGCACAAGGGTTGATGGTGGCCGGTAGTGCATGTCACATGCCTTCGGCCATTCCTCACTCCATCTTCCTCACCGTACTCTGGCTCCTGGGATTCCTGTGTGCGACGCCCGCGATTGTCATTAGCAGCCCTGGCGATGACTGCTTCTCAAGCTTGGAACCAGATCTCCAGCCGTGGTCTCTGGCTCACATCCTGGTCTCTCTGGCTACTTTTGTCATCCTCCCACTGGCGATGCTGGTGACCAAAGTGGCTCTGAAGTGGCATGGAGAAAGCAAGTGTATACAACTGGACCTGGGCTGGCTTTTTTACCTTTTCTGGTCACCCTATGGAGTAGTCCTGCTCCTGGACAAATTACTACAGGATGGGTTGCTAACGTCTACTTGCCGTTTCCGAGAACATCTTGACTACTTTCTGGGGTTATCAGAAGGATTTGGCATCCTGCATTGTTTCTTGTTGCCCCTGTTAATTCTGGTTTCGGGCATCTGTCGCCGACGAATCAGCAAAGCAGGAGTACCCTAAATCAGTGGTTCTCAACCTTCTGAATGCCACAACAGCTTAATACTAGGCTTGGGCGATCCAGTTCGTTAATTTCGTAATTTGTTATTAATTCGTATTTAAATTAGCTTACGATCCAATATCGAACCATGCAGGAATAGTGTGAGGAGTAATTAAGAATCGAAACAATGTTTCCAATTTTCGTAATTATTTCGTAATTATTTCGTAATTATTTCGTAATTATTTTCGTATGTCTGGTGCAAGTTTTACAATCTCGCATTTACCCCACTTCCGGTCCCTTTGCTCTGCTGCTTCCCTCCTCTTTCCTCATGCTTCTTCTTGCCTCACTCTAATATACAATGCTATAATATAACATATAATATAATAATACTATAATAATATAATATATTATATTATATTATTATAATACTATTACATTATAGTATTGTATATATTATATTATATTATTATATTATATATATTTATTACTATATTATTATATTATATTATAATTGTATAATATATGTAATATAATAATAATATAATATAATAAACAATAACATAATATAATAAAATAAAATAATAATAATATAATATAATATACAATAATATAATATAATAATATTATAATATAATATACAACAATATAATATAATAATATTATAATAATATAATATAATATAGTTGTTGTTTGTTTTATCACACCAACAGTCAACAGCAGAGGGAGAGGGAAGCTTCAGAAGTTCCCCCTGTCCCATTTGGAGGTTTTTTTTAGCATATTGCGCAATCACGTCCTCCATTAACGAATCGATTTGTAATTTACGAAATTTCGAAATTTCGAAATCTTAAATTTCGGAAGTCCTCAGAGTTTAGAAACGCTAGCGCACCCTAGAAACAAAATGAGTTTAGAACCAATTTTTTTCTTGATCGCCCAAGCCTACTTAATACAATTCCTCATGTTGTGGTGACCCCCAACCATAACATTATTTCGTCGCTACTTCATAACTGTAATTTTGCTGCTGTTATGAATTGTAAATCAATAAATAATAAATAACTTGTAAAGTAAACATCTGATATACAGGACCTATTTTCATTCACTGGACCAAATTTGGCACAAATACCTGATACACACAAATTTGACTATTGGTGGGGTTGGGAGGGGGGATTTATTTTGTCGTTTGGGAGTTGTGGTGATGGGATTTATAGTTCACCTACAATCAAAGAGCATTCTGAACCCCACCAACGATAGAATTGAACCAAACTTGGTACACAGTTCTCCCATTACCAACAGAAAATACTGGAAGGGTTTGGTTTTGGATTTGTAGTTCACCTACATCCAGAGATCACTGTGGACTCAAACAATGATGGAGCTGGACCAAACTCTACACAAATACTCAATATGCCCAAATATGAACACTGGTGGGGTTTGGGGAAAATAGAATCTTGTCATTTGGGAGTTGTAGTTGCTGGGATTTATAGTTCACCTACAATCACAGAGCATTCTGAACCCCACTGATAGAATTGGGCCAAACCTCCCACACAGAACCCCCATGTGGGCCACAGCAACGCGTGGTTTATACCCTGCTCAATCTCCCCCAGGGGGACTCGGGGCAGCTTACATGAGGCCACGCCCATCAATACGCCATATGTTATTTAACATCTATATGCGACCACTTGCTCAGCTGGTTCGAGGTCTTGGGCTTGAGTGTTATCAGTACACTGATGACACTCAGCTGGTGCTGAAGATGGAAGGCCGACCGGACTCTGTACCCGATTGTTTCCATCAGTGCCTTGAGGCCGTTACTGGACGGCTGCGTGCCAGCAGGTTGAGGGTGAATCCAGCAAAGACGGAGATCCTATGGCTGGGTCGACCGGGCAGTGGGGATCTCCAGCTGCCTACCCTGGATGGCGAGGCATTACGCCCGTCATCATTGGTAAAGAGCCTGGGAGTCCTTTTGGACCCTCTGCTGACGATGGAGGCCCAGGTCTCTGCCGTTAACAGAACCGCCTTCTTTCACCTGCGGCAGGCTAGACGGCTGGCCCCCTCCCTTTCCAGGGACGACCTAGCTAGATCCAGGCCACGGTCATCTCAAGACTGGACTACTGTAACGCCCTCTACATTGGCCTTCCTCTGTCGGTGATCCGGAAGCTCAAGTTGGTACAAAATGCAGCTGCTCGGCTTCTTGCGGGAATGCCGATGAGATGCCACATAACACCAATCTTACTGCAGCTGCATTGGTTACCAATTGAGCACCGGATCACTTTCAAAGTGATGGTACTCACCTTTAAGGCCTTGCATGGTCTGGGGCCGATGTACCTGAGGGACCGCCTCACCCCCTACCAACCCCAGAGATCCCTCCGTTCTGAGGACCAAGATCTATTGGAAATTCCCAGTGTCGAGACCTTGCGTCTAACAGCAACCAGACGCAGAGCCTTCACAGCAGTGGCACCATCACTCTGGAATACTCTGCCACCTGAAGTCCGTGCCTTGCGGGACTTACCAGCTTTCCGCAGGGCATGTAAGACATACCTGTTTCGACAGGCTTTTAATGTTTGATATTGTTGTTTTTAAATTGTTTTAAATTGCTTTTAAATTTTGTTAGATTTTAGCTATTCTTGTAAGCCGCTCCGAGCCCCAGGGGAGTGGCGGCATATAAGTTTAAATAATAAATAATAAATAAATAAATAAATACAATAAACACAGTATTACACAAAAACATAACAAAACCAAAAAATAAAATACATAAAATGCAAAAACCAATATAATAGACAACACAGCAATATAAAATCAAACATCAAAACAAGGTAATTTTTCCGAATTTATTCCGAATTACGAAGAGTCCGACGGTACCTAACCATACCTAATAAATAGTTTAGACTCTGGGCTCTTCCCTCTTTCAGAGTCTGCCCCTCAGAAAGAAAGACCTGCCTTAATCCTCCCTCTGGCTCATTTCTTGGAATGGCTCTGAGGATGGTTATATGAATGCATCCTCTATTGCCAGTTCCCTGCCAACATTGTTTGGGTACAGGCTGCAGAGAGGTGGCAAATTAGACCCCGAGGCTTTAGGAAGAAGGGCCTTTTCTGGAAAAATAAAACTCCAGATCCCTCCCTCCTTCTTTCCTCCAGCCTTTTCCATCCAAAACCTTGCAAGGAGGCACCCTGGAGAGCTCTTTTGTTTGCTCACTGAGAGGAGAGCTGCTCGCTCCATTAAGGTTGACAGAAGAAGAGAGGAAGGCCTGCCTGGGTCGCTTTTGCAGACCTGAACTGGAAGCAATACCTGCGATGAAAACATTGTGACAATCGGACTGGAATGGCAACCTGGGAGGCTGACAGGGAGTGCAATTTATGCTCAACCAATTTGGGCACTGAACGGTATTTAGGTTCATACTGGAAGGGGTTGCATTGCAAGGAGAGGGTCTGGGAAAGAGTATTGCCCCCAAACCTAGGTAAAGGTTTTCCCCTGACCTTAAGTCCAGTTGTGTCCAACTCTGGGGGTTGATGCTTGAAAAGAAGCAGGGGAGCTGAGGGATGATTTATTGTTGCCACCAATTTGAAAGGAACCAGTATTCAGGAGATTTTACCCCAGTTCCCAATTTTAAAAAGACTTAGCCGATTTGCAATGGAGGTTGCCGATTAGGAACCAAATTTACCATCAAGTTAGAAGGGAGGCTGTTCAATTGCACCTCCTCCTTTATTAAGAAAGTAATAACTTAGTAGTAATTACACTGTATATACTGTAGCGTGACTGGAGAGAAGAATGTAGATTTATTTGGTTACTTTTCCCTACGTTTCTGCCACCACGTGAGGTAAGTTGTAATATTGAGAGAAATGGCCCTTTGTACACAGAATAGACGGAGCTGAGGCAATCTTCAAATAAAAGTTAACAATTTTATTAAGTACACAGCGTGTGGTTGCAAGACGTAACTTTTCCTTGTTGCACTTGGAATAATACTTGTAACTTTAACAGTTCATTCTTTCAAGTAACACAGTATCTTTCTGACGTAGAGCACTTGTTTCAGACAAAGTTTCCATACAGGGATGTTTCCCTTATTTGATCCTCCCTAGATCAAATACTAAGTAAACTATTCTTTAGCCTCTCCTTAGACTAAAAGAATACCAGCTATGTTTCACCATTCGGCTGCACTAGCCTGAGAAACTTCCAATAGCCAAACCCAGCTTTTCAAAACGTCAAAGTTTTGCTTCACAAGTCACTCCACCACCTTTCCTTTCCTTCTCTCCCAACTCCTAACTCCTCACTCCTCTGAACCTAAACCCGGACTGCTCACTCCTCTAAACCTAAACCCTAACTGATTTTTAACTGTCGTTTTTTCAAACTCTCCTCTCTAAGCTCCTCCCACTTCCCTCTCTCCTGCATCGGTCTCCATGGCAACGCACATGGAGGACTCCTCTGACTTAAGCCGCTCCAGCATTACTGCAGCCAATCTAAACACAAATACAGTTAAAATCATACAATTTATAATCAACTCCTGTACAGTGCTCATCTCCATTTCTAAGCTGAAGAGCCAACGTTGTCCATAGACACCTCCAAGGTCATGTGGCCGGCATGACTACATGGAGTGCCGTTACCTTCCCGCTTCAGTCTGCCCATGCAAAGCAGGTGAACACAGCATTGAACTACCACTCCTCTTGGCGTCCCCAGCAACAGCAAGGGTATCCCTCTGGGCAGCTAAATTAAGAAATCCCAACTGGATGGCACCCGACAAAGGAGGGTCTTCCTCCAGAGGCAAACCAAGAACGGGCAACTTGGAAGTCCCTGAATAGACTCAGAAGTGGAGTGGGCAGATCAAAAGACAACCTGGCAAAATGGCACGACCTAAAAGAATCCCACACCTTGTGTGACTGTGGAGCAGAACAGACAACTCCGCATCTGTATGCTTATCCACTGTGCCCTGCCTCATGTACCGAGGAAGAGTTGTTGGAGGCTACAGACAATGCCATTGCTGTTGCCCGTTTTTGGTCAAAAGATATTTAGCCGCCTGCACTCCTTCTATTTTTATCAGTGTTATACTAATTTATGCAAAGTTTTTGATGAAAACATATTTATTTATTTGTTTGTTTATTTACAGTATTTTTATTCTGCCCTTCTCACCCTGCAGGGGACTTAGGACGGATTACAATGTACACATATATGGCAAACTTTCAATGCCAAAGACACACAACAGATATAGACAGACAGTCAGAGGCTATTTAACTTTTCTGGCCGCCAGGGGAGCTGTCGCGTTCATCATCCATCTGCGACGTTTTTAAAGGTGAGGAGGGATGACGATGACCTAATTCCACAGGGGGGAGGGCTACCACCGAGAAGGCCCTGTCCCTCGTCCCC